TTCACGTCTTGAATGAGTCTTTTTGGACCTGAGGACCAGAGTTGTAAATTGTGGAGATCTGATTCCTCAGGTAAAGGAAGGCTCATGAACTAGGCTAGTACTGAGTACCTCAAATGTGCAAATCCTACCTAGTTCTGAGGCCTCAGACACGTTCTTTCTGGCTCTTAGTTTCTTAGTCATATATGGAAAAAAAGCTTGGCAGAGATATTTCCAGTTCTCTGGCTCAAAAGCTCAATGACAGTCTAAGATGGCTTGATTCAGAAGGCTTTAAATATCTTTTCCTTCAAGGGATCAGTCAAAACTTCAACTTATGTGATTTGTTTCTAATTACATTTTTAAAAACACAGACATGTATAAAGAAGGAAACAAAATGTCCATGAGTTTTCTACCCAGAGTTAATTTAACATTTTAGGAAATGCAATTGAATTTATACATATGTGCAATTATGCATTCTTTGCTCATTGTACTAAGTTTATAATATATATATTTGGAGGTAGCTAAATCACTTAACCTTTCACTAGTTTTGGGGATTTCAACTTCCATTTTTTAAATGTTCAGCTAAATGTATGTCTTTGTGTGCATGTGCACATGTGCATGAGAGAGGGACAGAAATATATTGAAAGAAACAGATATTGTACCTTCATTTCAAATCATGTACTTATGAAACAGTCCTGTGTTTGGAACTAATTGTCAAAAGTAATGCATACATATTTTAAGATTCTTAGAACATATTTTCAAATTTATTTTTAAAGTATCTCATCAGTCTTTAAAATACTATGCACATCTTGTTATACTCTAGTGATGAACATTATACATTTTAGATCTTTGATAAATTGCTTTGACACATCATTGATTTTACATATGTATGTGTATGTGTGCGTGTGTGTGCGCGCATGTGTGTATGTGTGTGTGTCCATTCTAATAGTGTGACTTTGTAATAAGTTGCTCAGGAAATTCTGTTTTGTGAATCTTAGGTATGATAAGACTAAGATATATATATATACACACACACACCACACACACACACACACTCACATATATATATATACACACATACTTGATTCTTAAACTGGTTTGTGGTTACATTGGCTAATTCTTTCTGTGACTTACCTTTCCATGGCTGATGACCATGTTTCTGTGGAGGGCTTACTATTTTATTTTTGTGTAAATGCTTAGAGTATTATCGTTTCCAGCCATATTTATAGAGTATTTCATTTGCTTTTCAGTTTTGCTTTTCAGTTTTAAAATATTCTTTATATGAGCATATTTATTTTTTATGTGGTCAAGTTTATTGATTTATTATTTGTGAAGATACTTCTGGTTCTTGTCATAGACTAGGCTCAAATAGGATTGTTTATGCTTTATAGTTATTGTATTGCAGTTTTAGTATAATTGTTTTTGTTAGTCCTTGGACCTGGTTTCTAGGTCTTACTGAACTGGCTTGATCATTATAGCAAATAAGAATTTTTCTTCATATGACTTTGAAGTGCCGTTTGGAATTTATGCTTAGAAAATGGACAATTAGTGTAACTAATTTCTCTGTAATTAGAGTTCATCAATATTACTTTTCAGATTGTCAGGATATAAGTAAATGTTTCCTTGGAATTCTCATCCGGGAATGCGAAATTGTTGTTTGATAACACTTGAAATCTCAAAGTCGACCAGCATTTGTGTTGAAAATATCTTTTGATGCTTTATTCAGGGTCACACATTTTAGGTAAGCATCAGAGAGGAAAGTTAGTGCACTGATGCTATTAAATGTGAAACCATCTATTGCATTGCATATATACTTTGGGATTCACCCTTTGACAAGTTGAGAAAGTTCTACTCTTCACTAATTCACAAGGTGACAGCTCAAGTTGTCATCAGAGGATTTTTTTCTGACTAGAAAGAAAATTTGAAGTTTGAAAATGTCACAGTTTATGGCAGAATTATACTCATATTGTAGGAGGGCCACTGCATTTTGGATTTCTTTCACTGCTTGCTAAAACACCCATTGTAGTTGTTTATAAGCAAATAGTTACAAAGATTTTATATCATTTAAAGCTCAATTATTAAATTATGTAAAATGTTTTTCTCTTTACCTAAACTTGTGAATATAGCAAGACATAATATTGATTAAGTTCATATAATCAAGAGGTTTGATATTTCTCAAAAAAATTATCTGAGTTATATAAGTTAGACAAATACATCCAGCAATAGAATGCTTTTTTGAGCTAAAGATGATATAAGATCAATGAAAAGGCTGTAGCATGTCAGGTGTATTAGTGCAAATTTCAGAATTCTTCAAAAAGAAAATTACAACACCTGGAGGTCAGGACTGCTCTGGTGCTGTGGAAAATAGAAACAATAGATAAAGATGTCAAAAAGCAAGAGATGAGGATTACAAGCACCAGTATTAGTAAAACAGTAGTAATTATAGCAAGTTCAAATGTTAGAAATGAGCGTGATAAAGTGCAGGTATCTTTGTCTTCTTCCAGGAGCATTTCAAGAAAGAATATAAAGGAAAGAAAGGAAGTTTTTTATTTCTTTTTTTAAATTAGGTACAATGATTATCAGAAATGTAAAAGATTACATTCCTTATTACCCACCCCTTTCCCCCAAAGCCCCAGAATTCATGCAGTTTATTCATGTCTCTTTAGGTTGAATATAAACTAGCCCTGTCAAGTCTGAAATCAAGATTATATAGTTTTACTTTGGTGTAAATAGACTTAAAATACATCAACAATCGTTTTTTTCAAAGCAAACTTTGTATCTAGTGATAGGTCTTTAAAACTGCTATGTATCATGCCGGGCGCGGTGGCTCAAGCCTGTAATCCCAGCACTTTGGGAGGCCGAGACGGGCGGATCACGAGGTCAGGAGATCGAGACCATCCTGGCTAACACGGTGAAACCCCGTCTCTACTAAAAACACAAAAAACTAGCCGGGGGCGGATCACGAGGTCAGGAGATCGAGACCATCCTGGCTAACACGGTGAAACCCCGTCTCTACTAAAAACACAAAAAACTAGCCGGGCGAGGTGGCGGGCGCCTGTGGTCCCCGCTACTCGGGAGGCTGAGGCAGGAGAATGGCGTAAACCCGGGAGGCGGAGCTTGCAGTGAACTGAGATCCGGCCACTGTACTCCAGCCCGGGCGACAGAGCAAGACTCCGTCTCAAAAAAAAAAAAAAAAAAAAAAAAAACGAAACCCGGGAGGCGGAGCTGCAGTGAACTGAGATCCAAAGTGCCACTGTATCCAGCCCAACAGAGCAGAAGACTCCGTCCCAAAAAAAAAAAAAAAAAAAAAAAAAAAAAAAAAAAAAAAAACTGCTATGTATCCACTAAATGCGAGACACTATGCTAATGACTGGAGATACTGAAATTCTTTGCTTGCCTGTGTAAAGTTTGGAGTTTCGTGGCTAAAACATTCACATAGCTACAGCAGGTGATACGATGCAGGACAAAGCCACCATTGAAAGATTGAGAAGGAATATCTGTGACATACTAAGCATAAGAGGGAGGTCAGGAACAGTGTCAAGGAGTCTTACCTGGAGTAGAATTTGGGGGAAAGGTTTGGAGTAGCCAGCCAAAGAGCAGGCAATATGTATTACAAAATCCAGGAGGGGTGTGTGTGTGTGTGTGTGTGTGTGTGTGTGTGTGTGTGTTTATGTTTCCTGAGTATCTTAAGTATAGGAGAATGCAGATCAAATTGCAGGTAAAAATATAGGCTAGCTTATGAAGACTTTTTTATCTTGAAAACTCAAGAACTGTAAGACAGTGATCTGGAAGTGATGTCATTAGCTTTGCATTTTAGATCATTCTGGCAATAGTGAGGAGTAGAGATTACAGGGGTTGAGAATTGGGAAAGGAATTCTGTAAGGAGGGGCTGTAGTGACCTGAAGGAACAACATGAAGATCTGAAATAAGGCAATTTTGGAAAGGAGAGGAGTCAGAGTGAATGCATTGGGAAACTGACTCAACAGAATTTTGTGACTGAAGTAATGTGGCAGTGATTGGGTAAAGAGACTGATCTACACTTAATTAATCCTAAATTTCTGGTGGGGTATGTGGAAAATTTTTGGTGCCAGAAGTTTGGTATGGGAGAGCAAAAGCTTTGATATGCTTATTGCACATTAAGGTGAAGATTATCAAACACAAATATTCTTTAGTAGTACAGTTTATACATTAGTCATTAATGTTATGTCTATTGAGTGTTGTCCTAAGTACTATTATTATATTTATTTTGCCAATGATGAAACTGAAGCAAAAATAAGGTTGACCCGTCTAAAGTTACAAAGGAAGTAAATGGCAGAGTTAAAATTTAAGTTCAGAGAGTCTGATTGTCATTCCCACTCTCAGGTGCTCTATTCTCCTGCTTTTCAGTCACATGGATATCTATCTGATCTATGAAAATTATAGCCTGGAGATAGGGATTTGGAAGTAAACTAGTTTATATGAAAAGATGAAACTACTGGCCTGAATGACATGACCCTGGAGAGTCCGTGGAGCTTTTGTGTGTGCTGAGGTTACGACTTTGTCATTCAGAAAGAGGAAGTGAGATTGGGAAAGAGACTGAGTGACCAGAATGATAGGAGGAAAATCCAGAAAGAATTGTGCTATAAAATTCAAATTGAATGCTAGTTTTTTCTCTTTTTAAGAAATAAAATCAATAATTCTAAAACCTTGAAAAACATAGCCAGAAATATCCGTCAGAAGTCACAGGTGATAGTCACAATGATTTTAGTTTAGTTATTCAGAAAGAGAATAAAAGAGGCTGGGGAATGAAAAGAAGTGAGACCATAAATTCAGAGAGCTTCCTCAATGCTGTGGAGTGATGTGACTATACAGGCCAAAGAGGGATTGAGTGGAAGCTCATGGTGGATGAGAATAAAAGAAGAGTTTTTCTTGTAATAGGTAAGACAGGATCACGATTGTGTGGATTTTAGGGTAATCTGTCTTGGAGTAAGATTTTTTTTAAAGAGCAAAATGATAATTTGAAATGCTTTTTAAATTTTTAACAGAACATTATACATCCATGGGCACACCAAGTTGGATTTCACAGTCTGGCATACTGCAATTGAAAAAGCAGCAGGTACAGATGGTAATGCTTTGCAAGATCAGCAGCTCAGCAAAAATGACGTTCCCATTATAGTGAACAGCTGTATAGCATTTGTTACACAGTATGGTAAGTATCACTGAGTTTTTATTCAACCTCTAGAACTGATCACATCATTCTTACAGGTTTTTAAGTGGTACCTCTATTGGACTGAATTGAAACCCTTTATATTTGTAAGTACACTAGTGAAAAATAAAGGCAGATTTACTGTTCAGCTAATGACCATTCCTTCTCCCAATAAGACTCGTTTAAACTATACCATACATTTTTACCATTTCCTCCTTCCTTTATATGCATAAAATATTAAATAACATATTGAAATAATCTAAATTATAATATGTACATAAAAATAGTAGATTATATGTTTTATTCAAGTAATAAAAAATAGTAGATTGAAGACTATCTTTCAGAGATTACAAGGCTAGATTAAAGCCTACAGTGACACAACACGTCTAAGCATGTTTTTAGAAGTGATGAACTGTGGAACAATATGTAAAATAATTTGCTTCCTTTGGCATACATAAAGTGTGCATGTAGTTTATATTCAGAAGCATAGCTATTAATTTTCACAATTTTTTATCATTTTCAACAGATGTTTCAATGAATAGTGTGCAAATAAAAAACACGTTGATCTGTACCATGGTCTAGCTTCATGTCAGTTTTATATGCTATGTTAGTATTTTAGATATACCTGAAAGATATCCTCTTTTCTTCATGTTTATTTTCAAATGGTTATGAGTTCTCCAAATTCCTTTTATTGCATATATCTTTCATACTGTAAATTTCTTGATGTTATTTTAAATGTGAAAATGTTAAACTGTTACCATGAGCCCTTTTAACCTGTAGGTAAATGCCATTTATTTAGATTACAAATGTGGAAAAGAGGAAAATGATTTGATATTTTGGATTGTATTAAAATGTTTTTGTTCTCCTAATATTAGAGGTGTCTTTGGGTGTTTTTAATTTGAAAAGAAGATATAAGTAGTGAGGGCTGCAGTAAAGCCTTGTATTATTAGTTAATTGTTTCTTTATCAAGTGCTTATTGTATGCCAGTCACTGGTCTCACTCTTAGAAACACAGTAGTGGAAGTAAAAAGTTCAAGACAAAGCTCTGAATCATATGTTCTAGTATGGGAAACTGACAATACACTGATATGTGACAAAATATCAGAACTAATGATATGTATAAAGAAAATACTTGTCAGGAATTAAACTTAGGCATATTTTAATCTCTTGTTCTAGGGAGAGTGTCATTTTAAGTATTTTACTTACTTTGTATGTAATGCAAGTGCAATTATTAATGTCCAGATTCATTGTGTTTTTATGATATATCTACTGAAAATATATACATAGTCACGTATTTGGGCATTACTATAAGAAGTTTCCTGCTCTGATAGTATGTTCGTGTTTTTCTTATTAGCTATAATCATCTGTTAAAGGAGGAAGGAGAATGTTACCTTTATTTGTTACAGCCATTCAGTGTTAGTGTACATTTTGCAGATATACATGAATCACATATATGTTATGTTTTAACAGGAGCATAACCTCATTGGGAATCTTCACAACATGTTAGTTTCATAATGGCATAAGGCCTTTCTTAAGCAAGAAATAATTAAAATACCTTGACTAGCTCTGATGTAGCCAATTTAATGTTTTTCTAGGGAAATCAGAATTTTCCTTGTGTTTATTTGGGTTTAAAATAATTCAGCATTAGATTTTTTTCAACTAAAATTCATATATTATAACAACTTTATACATCTATTACAAGATGCCTTCACTTGCATGTTAGAATAATAAAGCCAATGAAAGATTGTGTTATATAGATACACACACACTTAAATATATACACACATATGTGTACATACATATATTCATATATACACATACATATAGTCATATAACATATGTATATATTATATATAAATGTATGTATCATATATTTTTATATTATATGTAATTATATATAAAATTGTGTTTGTATTATATATCTACTGAAAGTATATAAATAATCACATATTGGGCACTACAGTAAGAAACTTCCTGCTATGATAGTATGTTTATGTCATATATATATATTTATATTCAGAACATTGGGGAAACCTCAATGCTACCAGCATGTATAGAAGAAAGATTTGGCAGGAACTTAGAAAATACCCAGTGATTATAGGATGCAGATGGTTTCATGGTAGCAATTATTTTGAACCTCCTGAGCTGTGGGTTGAAATCTCAAGACCAATTTTCTGTGCTCATTGTGTCATTGTGTCAAGGTTTGAACTTGACTGAGTTCATAGGATGACTTTTAGGGCTTTAATTTTTAAAAAGTAAATTACACTAGTTCTTGGGGAAAATTATTTCAATTATATAAACAACATTATGTTCAAATTATTTTTCAGTTAACTTACTTGAGTGCCAGCTATTAGAAATTCATTCAGCTAAGGATATACTATCTCAAACGCTTAGTCAGTACTGATTTTTGTAGAACTTGCTTATTCTTGCATTAAGCAGTCATTTATTGAATACCTGCAGAGTAGTTCTAGGCACTGTGTAACTGCCAGATATACACAGAGATATGTCACAGAAAATAAGACATCATTTTTGCCTTCGAGAAGTTTGCAGATTTATGAATAAATACATGAGCAGTTACAAGTCAGTGTTAAAATTCTCTAGTAAAGAGGTTCAGGGGGTGCTTCCGGTGTCCAAGGTGTAGGGGTAAATTTCACTCACAGAAGGTGTGGTATCAGAGAGCTTCATAGGTAAAGCACAGTGCTTACCATGAGCCCTAAGAGAAAATGGGAGCTAGTTAGGAGAAGAGGATAAGGATTCCAGGAGGAGAAATAGTGTGTGCCAAGGTATAGAGTCACAAATTTTGTGCTGGGAGCTTTGTGGTATCAAATGTGGCCAGAACTTAGTGTAAGGAGAAGGAGTCAATCAATACAAAAGGCAACAGGTTAGACCAAGTCAGGTAAGGTTTAATATACAAACTAAATTCCTCAAACTTTGCCTCATAGGCAGCAAGAGGGCAGTATTCGGATTTTTAAGCTTGTTGGTGACACATACAGACCTGAATTTTAGATCATGTTGTTATCATTGTTGAGACACACAGAGTGCTGCATAAGAATATGGGCAAGGAGTTGTGACAATGTAGTAAGAACTCAGTGCACAAATAATAGCATATGGGATGGAAAGGAGAGGACAGTTGTGAGAGTGAGATCATGATGAAGAATCTATGTGATGCAGTACTGCATTTTTTTTTTTGTTTTTAATGTGCTGATTGAGAAATAAATACTCTGACTTGTAAAGGGCTAGGGAGAAGGCAATGCTGTATATTGAGGTAGAGAGGAACAAGATAAAGAACATGGTGGGGGTGGAAAGTGAGGTAGTAAGCAGGGCAGGAGAATTAATTCCTTTGGGTTATTTTTATTTGCCATAAGATGTATGGATGTATGTGTGTATGTTGCATGTATATGTAATGGTATGTGTATATATATGTGTGTATGTGTAAAATCATGGAAATTAAAACCTGAGTTAAAATGTTTATGTAGAAGTGATGAGGTTGGATGGGTTCTCACCCAGTGGGCAGGAAGAGAAGAGAATTGAGGAAGGATCCCTGGGATGACCAGAAAGTATTAGATGAGCAGAAAAAATGAGAAGACTGAGAGAGCAATCACAGAGGGAAGGGAGAAAAAAAGAGATATGAAATCATGATGTCATGAAAGTTATGGGGTTAAAAGAATTTACAGGGTTTCATTCAGAATGTCAAATGCTGCAAGGAGTTCTCCCTAGATAAAAGCTGAAAAGCATCTAGAAAAAAAGAACATTGTTAATATTCTCGATGAAGGATGACCCCAACAGAATGGATATTGGGCAGAGATGCAAGATTGTGTGGTCAAAGGATTAACAGGCTTGTGAGATGGTAGAAGGAATAAATATAGGAAATTCAGCCTGGTTGTGAAAGGAACAGGGAAAAGAAGCCTGGGAGGAGGCAAGGGAGGCTTTTGGGGTTTGAATTATTGTCATCGTTATCATCACTCTTCCTCCTAACTACTGCTCCTTTTATTTGGTATGGAGCACTTCATGAATCAGTAACTATGAAAAAGAGGTAACGCAACTCTCCACAGGAAATAAGGGAAGATGGGAGCATTCAGAAATTAATATACAACATGGGGGCAGGAGGGTGAGGACATTTATACCAGAGAGGCTCACTTTTGTCAGTGAGAAATGGAGGTAAGTTTTTTGCTGGGAGACTAAGTGAAGACAGGGCACTTTAAGTAAAAGAACATTTGAAAAAGATACTATGGAGAGCTGGAGGAAGGACTGATCAGGAGCTTGCTAAAACCTGAGTCTGCGATGATTTGCTCATTAGGTTTACATTTTAAATACTAAAATGAGGGATAAGAAGCCTTTCCTGCTCTTGCATGTTTATATCATCTGTTGTATAATGATTTCTTCATCTTACTCATCATCTCAACACAAACATTTGTTTCATTTTTAAAATATCAAACTGGCTTTTGTATTTAGACTTTAAAAATATAATATTTTTAACAAAGGTTTAGGATGCAAATATATCTATCAGAACAATGGTGATCCTTTGCATATAAGTGAACTCCTGGAGAGTTTCAAAAAGGATGCAAGAAGCTTTAAATTGAGGGCTGGAAAACATCAGCTTGAAGATGTGACGGGTGTGTTGAAAAGTTTTCTCTCTGACATTGATGATGCACTGCTTACCAAGGAGCTCTACCCATACTGGATCTCTGCTTTAGGTAATATTTATACAGATATATATATAGATATGTGTGTGTGTATATATATTATACAGACCATAATACATGCTTGCCTTTTAATACTTAGACTTTTTTGATAAGTTGAAATTTTAATTGAAAGAAAAAATATACATAATGGCTTAGAACAGAAATTGTATAAATATCAATAGCTGTTTCAGTCTACCTCAAGAGAAATTAAAAATATTTGCTCAATCGTTTGGTATATACTTAGTTTTCAGTCGATTTCTTAGTTCATACTTTGCTTTAACTTTGGAATGTTATACTCAAGTCCATGTGTGCTACTAATTTCCCATTAAAAATAAAATGAAGCATTTACTATATGATTCATTTTGCAAGATAGTGTATAACAGTTTTTAACTGTTGCTTCATTTATCCTAGATTCCATCTAATGAAATAGAATTTTGTTATACACTGTAAGAGAAGCTAATTAAGAGATGACCCTAGGAAAGGAGTTTATTAAATCCCTCATGGGTCAAATTAATTTCAGTAAAGCCTGTTTTTAACCTCCAATGCTTTAAAACAAATCCTTTTATTGAAACATTACAATAACAAAGACTTAAATGTAAATATTGCCTTTAATTCCACCTTTTTAATAAAGATGCTTTTGTTTATCCATATTATAGTCCTTTTCTCTACTTTTTTAATTTATGTATATAACAGTTTTATTTTTATTAATACACCATAACCATTTTTCATATATCTATAATATTTTCCAAATGATAATTTTCAGTCCTCCATTGTTCTAGGTTTTAAAACTTACTTTTGAATTAGTCTATAATTATAATGTGTTTGTCTCTTATATATTTAATCTGTTTCAAGATTTGGAAAATGGCTTTTGAATCTGGTCACATGGCATTCCTCTAATGAGAAGTAATTTTCCTCATTGAAAGTATTTGTTTGATCTAAAACAATTGATATATTTAAAGATATTTTTGAAATGATGTCACAAAACACGCACAGTTTGAAAATTATCCCAAGAATGACCCTAGTTAATGTCAGGAAGAGTAGCATTATAACGAAAATAAAGTTTCTCATGATACAACTACCTGTCAGAAGTCTTTCATTTGCCTTCTGTTTCTTAAATCAGTAGGGTTCACTGTAATACCAAGAATACTTGATTATATAATTTTCTAAGATATAAAATGCAGAGATAAATATATTGCTTTAATCTCAGTTACCCTGCAACCCTCATTTTTGTTTTAAGAAAGTTTTATTGAAATGTGTGAAGCTGTTTAGAGTATCTCTACTTCATAAAGACTTATAATTTGTCTTTATTATAAAATTGGTTATCAGTAGTACATGACAAGGCTGGGCATGGTGGCTCACGACTATAATCCCAGCATTTTGGGAGGCCAAGGCAGGAGAATAGCTTGAGGCCAGGAGTTCGAGACCAGCCTGGACGACATAGTGAGACCTTGTGTCTGCAAAAAAAAAAAAAAAAAAAAAAAAAAGGCGTTAACTCAGGCATGGTGATGTGCTCCTGTAGTCTCAGCTATTCTGAGGACTGAGGTGGGAGGATCACACGAGCCCAGGAATTCCAGGCTTCAGTGAGTTGTGGTGGTGCCACTGTACTCCAGCCTGGGTGACAGAGCTGAGACGCTGCCTCTTTAAAAACAACAACAACAGGTGACAAATACACTTTTTCTAAAGTTGTCAGATTGAGTGACAAACAAGTCTTCACTGTTGTCAGTCTACCAGAAAAAGGTAGTCAGCAGGTGTCAGAGTGTGTCCCAAAGGAATGTGTTCACCTTTGCCTTGCCTGTGAATTCTTTGATAATTTATTTGGAGAAGGCTTTGAATATTGGGTCAAGTAACCTTTAACTCCTTTGCTTTTGCAAACAATATAGTTCGGCCAGACCCTTCAACAGTGGCCATGTTGGACCTGAAAAGAATAAACCAGTGCCCTCTGAGTGAATTCATAAAACTCTTTTGACGCACTGTGTACTTGAGGTAGAGAATGCCTTATAGCCATGTACCACCTATATTTATACGACATATTATCTGTTCTTCTAGGAACACTGTTAAATTCTGTGTCTAGTTGAATTGCTCATTGTATTTTCTATATGGCCTGAAATCTTTCCTGAGTTTTACTTTCAATTTATTTAGCTTTATTTTGAAAATATCTATTTTATAAGATGTGTGAAAATATGTGTATAGCATGACTTTTTGTTTTAAGCATAGTAGTGTTAAATTTCAAGGAATAAATGCAATTTATCCTACAGTTAAAAACTAGATAACATGAGGATGTTTGGATTATACTGGGAATTATACATAATTAATTTCCAGTAATGTCTTTGAATGTAATTTGGGTGTTTCCCCCTCTTTCTTACAGAGAGTCATCTACTAGTGCACTTAATTCAGTATACTCATGTGTATGGTTATTGATCTCATGTACAGTCTAAATCAGTACAAAAGAGATATCACTTGCAATTTTGAATAGGATTGCACTTGAAAACTGTGTCATACAGAGTTTCTTACCTAGCCAGGGATCCTAATGTCCTTTACAAGTGACTTTGTACTTTTAAGACATCATTAGTGTGCTGCTGATTTTCTGTGAATAGAAGAGGTAAGGCTAAGCAAGAAATAAAATAGTCTTGTTTCCAAAGATAGTTGCGAATTGAGAGGAAATAATAAGTGTGGTCTTCTTGAGTTATCAAGTCAGCACAAGTGGTTTATTTGAAGAATGATCTATTTCCACTGTCAGGTGGTATAGGCTAAACTGTCACTGCATGTCCTCTACAGAATCTAGATTTTGGGGGGTTCCTGTCTCTAGATATTTGCCTTCTTGGAGTTAGGTGAGTGGAGGGTAATTCGTTTCCATCCTCCTCTCCATGAACCAACAAATTTCTGTTCATAACAAAAGCAGGAAGTCTATCATCCTCTAAATCCAGATTGTAGTTACTAAGGACTGGGCTTGACTTCTTCCATTGTACTCTCACCTTTTCAAAAGATTTGAAAGTACGCTTTACCTGGATCGAAGAGGTACTGTATAGTTCATAGCTCCAGGATGGTTCATAGCTTTGGAAATATTTTTATAATTTCGTGAGAAGCAAAAATCAGAAATGTCATTTTCAAATACAATTGATAAAACATTTCCTTAGCCAGAGTTAAAATACTTTTGGCTTAACTCTTCAGTTTGTGCTTCAGTTTGAATAGTTAATTGAATGTATTCCCATTAAGTTAAAGTTCAGTATTCCATAAAGTAGAAGATAAAAAAATGCAATCCCTCCTAACCTTGTATTTTAAAAGTTATTTGTTTTCAATTATAAATTATAAGAACTAGAGCCCATAGTGCTGGAATGTTATGTAAATAAATACTTTTCCAGATTGATAGAAAATTACTTTAGAACTTCGAACAATTGTCTACTGAAACCTGATTGTATCACTTATTAAAATGCGTTTGTTTGTGACTATTTTACAGTACTGCTGATAGACGAATTCATAACATTGATAATTAGTTTAGGCCTCAAGATTGTTTTTTTTTTTTCCCTCCAGATGCGCAAGATGACAAGGAAAGAATTAAAAAATATGGAGCATTTATACGTTCTCTTCCAGGGGTCAACCGAGCAACATTAGCAGCTATCATTGAACATCTGTATAGGTGGGTAGATGAATGAACTTTTCTAGACATTTCAAACACAGCACTCAATAAGTCACTATTTCTTATACGATTGTGAATCTGTCTACATATCATAAGAGCTCATGTTAGTCTGTCTTTCTGTAATTAAGTCACATTTACAGATAAATAGCACTAGTAATTTCTTAATCAGAAATAATCATATACAGTGTCCTCAAAGGCATCTGATGCATAAGCAAGAATTTTAACACTCACTTGGTTTGGAAGCTGGAGAATGAAGGATGTGCAGGGACCAGAATTTTGTAACAAGAATCTGTCTGTGAGGACAGTATTTTCTCATGGTGGACATTTCTTTATTATCAGTTTATATCTTAACTGACCTTTATATTTTGGTATCAGGCTATTGATACAATGAGGAAATTTTAAAAATCAAAAACAATTTTCTATGTCAAGGCATGAAAGTCTCCTTGTATTTGGAAAGATATGAGGAATATAATGGTGCCTTTACAAATGAGGTCTGAAGGATGAGGACATTTGAAAATAAACTTTTAAGTTAAAACTGTTTTTTTTTTTTAATCTTAGCAAGAATTATTACAAAAACTTAAATGTAAATTTTGATTAAGGAATATGTTGTCGCTCCCTGAATGGATGAAATACTCGCTTGAATAAATTTCTGTAAAGCTGAATTTTGCTAAAAGTACCTTATTTGCAGTCTCCATTTAGAAATCTTTCACAATTTGTGTTCTTTCCTCTTGTTCTTTTCTTTCCCAACCACTACTTCTCACTTATATCAGCTCCATTATTGTAAAACTGATTTTCTTATTGCATCATACAAATATAGTCTACATTATATAGTCCTATCTCTATGCCTATGAGACGTTGAGACAAAATTTAATATAGAGAATTTTAGCGGGCAGCATGGAATTGTAGAGGATAAATTGGACGATTCATTGCGCATTGTGGTCCAGGGGATGCATCTGTGCTTCAGATTTAAAGAGACATATGAACTGGGCGTGAAAGAAGAGTATGAGAAATGAGTGACGGATAATGTCTGAGACATAGGAGTACTAGGAGATGAGACGGTTATAGTTGACTGACAGGAAGTTGTGGAAGGCTTTGTAGGTCATGCAAAAATATTTGAATTTTATCCTTTAATTGATAAAAGTAACTGGTCAAACGTTTATGGATAAAAATCCCTATGATGGGATTGGTAGGGAAGATGTAGCATAGAGGCAGATAAGCTAACTAGGAAACAGTTTTGTTGAGTTTCTGATGAGAAGACCTGGAGGAGAAGAGACTGGGCAAGCTGAATATGGAACATTGGAAATGTTAACACCTCGGAGCAGAGAAGTAAAGGAAGAAAAGGAAGCACTATATTATACCTACTTTTTCCCAGAAACTAAAGCAGTCACTTAAACTAAAGACAAGAGAAGTGAAAAGTACCAAAGGGTACTTTTTGCAGAAGGAAGTCTCAAGAAATACAGGAATGTCCTTAAAGATAATGTCCTTAAAAGATGGAGAGGTAAATTTGAATGAGGACAAGTTGATTTAGCATTTAATTCAATCCCTACCCTAGCTAAAAGACCATTTCCGCCTTCAGTAATATCCACTAAATTCCATTCACAATGGGATTAAAGAGTTTCTGACTGTGAGATACTTAGATTCTAGTAACAGAGACAGACATGCAGATAAATTTTCCAGATGTTTACAATTAATGGTAGTGTGAAAGCATAGACATTGTTTTGAGAGGGACGTTCACAATTATTACATCCTCTTCTATTAAATTCCAGCTCCTTTTACGTCTTGAAAATCACGTGTGACGATTGCCCTTGCACCATCTCTGCTATGCAATTTGGTATTTTATTATGAATTGCCTACATTATCATGTTTATTGCTATCATGTTTATTCACCTTTTCTTGTAGCTACCTGAATCTGTGTTCTTCATAGATGGGAATGTCTAGCTTAGTCTTACTACATTCATTTGATGGAGTTTCTATGTTCATTTGATGGAGTGTGCCACTTACAGTTCTCATCTGTTACATTTTTAGCAATGTCACTTTCCCTTTCTTGGGGATGATGCTTCAGGGAGTTGTTTTGGGTTTTTTTGCAAACTTTTAAGTTCATGGGTACAGTGTGTAGGTTTGTTACATAGGTAAACTTGTGTCATGGGGAAAAAATGTAATACATTTTAAAATAGTCTACTTTGTGATAATTTATTTTGAATAACTGTATGGACACATGTGCCCAAATATTCTTTCTCACTTGATTTGCACTTTCGGGAAAATTTAGCCTAGCTTTGCAACTGGAATTTGGAACTGTCAATTATATGCCTAATGACCTACATTTTTGCCTGTTTTCTGCATACCTCCTACCCCATTTCCTCCTCCTATGCTGCAGTCCCACAAGCCATTTTACGCCATTCTGCAAGCATACTTCTATGCTTTGGCCACAGGTTGTTTTATAGTTCGCAATTGTTTTTATATGGTCAGCCCTTTCTCTAAATCAACAATTAAGTATGATTTTGTAACTTTTACTAATCTGTTTAATAGTACTTTTTCTCATGTTCTTAACTAGATTATAAGCTACCTGGAAGAAAGAACCATGTGTTTTTAAGTCACCACTGTATCTTTTATATCAGAGAATTCCAATATTGGTGTGTTTAAAAATTGATAAACTGACTTTCTGTTCTATGAAATTTCCAAATAGAAGTGTATCATAATGAACTATCCTTTTCTCTGACAGGGTTCAGAAATGCTCAGAAATCAATCACATGAATGCCCATAATTTGGCCTTGGTCTTTTCATCCTGTTTGTTCCAAACGAAGGGACAAACTAGTGAAGAAGTGAATGTAATTGAGGACCTAATTAATAATTATGTAGAAATATTTGAGGTAAATATTTTGTATCCTGCCCTTGTTAAAATGGTTATAATGTCACCGTTTGCCAACACATATATATGTTTTAGGGTGTTATTACTCAGGTCTTTATTAATATTTAGAAATAGGTAAAATAAGGAATAGTCATATTTTTAAAAATTATAGGCATAAGTAGCTTTTAAGCTATAGTCATTATTTAAATTTGGTTGCATTTATAACTTTTTACCATCTGATGTCTGTTGGACAGAATATTTCTATCTATAGGATTTTTTGCTTGTGTTTTCTTTTTCTTCATGTGTATGAGTTATATCTACTTAGAGGTATAAAGTTATAAATTGAACAATTCATTAATAAATACCAGACTCTCAAATTCTTCAGTTGAAAGCACTTTGGTTTTTTCTTTTAGTTATGTCCCCAATTGGGGAAAAAAAAGCACATTCTAAAATATTATTATTCTATGACATTTTACTAAGTAATCTGTTTTAATTGACTTTTTAATTTTCCATTTTATAAAGTTAATATTTTCATGTTTCATCAGAAAACGGTTGGAATAGGAATGATGTCTTGGTTCAAAGAAGTAAAATTAGAAGAAATAAGCCCAGGATTCAAATGGGTGGATTTGGGCGAAAGGTCCAGTTCTATTATGTAACTAGTTCTAGCATCTCAATTTTGTCATTTAACCTTTTGAACATTCCCTTAAATGGTATTTATGAGTCCACTTGTTTTCCAGAAGTATGGCTATACCACATGAAGTCAAGAGGGTTAGTGTAATCAGTTACCATTGTAGAGTTCTTACATTCTTATTATAATCACTTATAAGACAAGAAAAAGGAGCTATTTTAATAAAATATCACAGTCTATATCTTAAGTCACATAGGAATAGACACCATATTGTGGTATTGTCTTTGCTCTTCGATCTCCTCTTTACTTCTTTCTATATGTGTCCACTGTTTTTTGATCAATAGCAACTTCTTTGCAATAATCTGATGCTGAGAAAATAAAGATTTAGGAAAATATGATGTATGGCTTTACATGCTGTCTCTGTTTTCTGTATTTGTAGTTTTCCATTAATAAAATGGTTATCTTCATAGTTATATTAAACTTTACTTAAATGATGGAAATTTAATAAGCACCTAATGAACATTTCAGTTTGATAAATGAGCTTTGTTTCTCAACCTGCATAAACTTAAACCAGTCATCAGATCCTTTGCTTAAGTTTCCTGAGAAATAGAACTTCCATCAATGCAATTGCAGCCTGAAGTAGTGTCATCATAAAATATTTTGAACTTTAGGATACTCTATCTTGTTTATTTTATTTCCGACCTAGCTATGTGGGCTCATACTGATTCCGATGGCCATTCTCATTTATTTTTAAGTTGTTGGTATTTAAATTCCTGAAGATTACATGAGGATGAGTGTCATCACTCTTCGTATTCTACATTATTAGAATGTCCCGAATTATATTTTAAACAGGTTAAAGAAGATCAAGTCAAACAAATGGACATAGAAAATAGCTTTATTACCAAGTGGAAAGACACCCAAGTGAGTAGTAATAGTTAGATCTCTAAAGAATTAAACAAAACAAAAACTTCCATTGTAAGTAAAGACATTTGCTGTGTGTATTTTCAAGTTCCTATTTTAAGCAAAGTAAAAGTAGTGGGTGAAAAAAACAACAATTAAGTAAATTGGTTGTGTTATTCTGCAACCTGATACATACATGCAAATTATGCTAATGTAAAATTTTAAAAATAGAGGAAAAATCAGTTTTAATTTACTTCTCAAGGTTTTCTTTATAAGATCAACTTTTGTGTATAAAAACCATGACTGAAAATGCTAATGGATTTCAAAGGAAGCATTTAAAGCCAAAGAAATACTTAGAGTAAATTGAAAATTCAGACAGCCTAGTGATTCTTTTTTGTTATTGTGAAACTATAAATTATTTCTTATATGCTTTTGCTTTGCATGCTTTCAGATGATTGTATTAATGGAATGCGTCTAATGTGATCTGTGTAACACATTCTAATTTTTGTCCTAAGTTGACTTTTCTACATCCTGTTCTAATTTCCTCAATCACATTATACTGAATTTTTGTGTTCGGGTTGCACTATGCTTGTTTATTGAATATTCACTGAAATTTCTTAAGGCCGATCATTAGTCATCTTCTAGTAACTAGGAGTTAGAGTGGATTCAGGGTAACAATATAAATGATAGAAATGGATCAAATGAGCTCTGTTTACAGATAGATAATGAGGCAAATGCTTTTTTGTTAGAAACTAAAGTCTCCTCAGTCCTGAAATATCCACAGCTAACTAGAGGAGTCATTGAAGCTGTCATTCCATACAAAGAAAAAAATAGAAGAAGGCTTAGATCAGTACTAATACTATGATATTAATGAATTATTTTCTCCATTTTGACCCAGAGTAATTATGCAGCTTCCAAAGGTGTTAGCTTTAACCTTAAAAAATCTAGCTCATTATCAATTATCTTAAATTCTCACTTTTTTGGGGAGCAGAGAGGAAGACTTTAGTCATGAAATAAAGGATTGTGTGAGGCTGAGAGGTAACCCCTGACCATACTATCTACATTGTTATTTAAAAGGTTTGAGTATCCTTTTGCGTTTTTTTATCTTTTATATTTGTAGTATAATAAAGAAATAAGTTTTGAATGCTTTCAATTCAGTCTGTATAAGTAAGTAAAAACAAGAAATACAGTATTTGGAAATGATAAGTAAAAGAGTCTGGGAAAATCTGTTTTTTTTTACTTAAATTTTTCCTCTAATTCATTTAAAACTGTCTTCTGGAGTATTTTTTTCTGACATTCAGTCTCTTTGTCTTACCCCTGTTTGAATTTCTTACCTATTCTTCTTTTTTATTTCACTCTATGAGTTCTTTGTATTTACTTTTTAAGTTTTAAAATGTGTCCTTCCTGGAGAGCTGTTTATGCAAACATAGTGAAAAGCAAAAGTGTCAACTGTATTTTTTCCTTACTGGAATGTATCTGTAGCATTGTAAGTCAGGAGGAAAAACTGGAAATAAGCTTTTCTAAGCCTGTAATGCCAGAAAAATTAAGGAACTTTTTCAAAGTTCACCTTTAATGTTTTTCCCAAAGTTTACTCATTAGATTTTATGCTGAGGCAAATTTAATTTGAGAATTATTTCTTGATTATGATTTTTTTTATTTAAATCAGGTGATATTGTTTCTAATTGGTTATATAACTTAAGGGAACTTCTGAAAAAAGTTACTCAAAATATTTTTCATAGATTAGTTTGGTTCTTTGTTAACCTCCTATACGGTTAATCTATATAGTTATGATATGATATCCTAAGGCCTTTTATTTTAAGGCTTGTATCTTCTTCACTTAGTCTGTCTTTTGGGATATAATGATGACCTAAATTAGTACTTAATTCTTGGCCAAAGATAATTAAAAACTTCTTTTTATTGTCTACCATATTCCATGAATTACCTCACTTTTATTTTCATTTCTAAATTTATGTTATTTGTAGTTTTAATATAGCTCTGACATAGTTTATCCTCAAAGTTCAATTTTCGGGCATATCTTCTCTTTAAAAACGTAGCAAACCATATTTTGCCTTTTAAATATTGATATCATGCACACATTACAGCTTGAAGCAAAATTACATGTGGTTTGTTTTCACCCCTCATTTTGTTTGTCCTGTTAACGTACATGCTGATGGCTCCTACGACTTCTGTTGTCGTAGCCAGCATATTTCCATTGTAGCTGGATTCATTATTTTAGGAAGAATGTAAGGGTGTTTGAGAGCACTAAGCTCCTGAGTAAGAGATAAAAAAGAAAATCATTGTGATTGTTGTTGCTGATTATAACATTTGTGTAAATGCCTTGTCCTTAACCATGTCTGGAAATGGGCACATCGTGCTTGCGAACGGCGGAATTGAGCTTGTTTCATTGTTATAAAATATTCAAAAATATGCCTGGGGCTTTATAACTGTCTTCAGTTTCAAATGTGTGTTTTTACAACATATTTACCTGTGTTGTTTCTACCTCTGCCCTTTTCTAGGTTTCCCAGGCTGGAGATTTGTTAATTGAAGTATATGTAGAAAGGAAGGAACCTGACTGTAGTATTATAATTCGGGTAAGTTCTAAAGGTGGCTGTAAAGAGGACTGTTGGAAGTCACAAATGTTAGCATTATTTTACATATTTTGAATTTTCCATTATTATATTTTATGTTACTTCTCCAGTTCAAACGACTGCCATCATAGACTGTTTATACTGATATCCCCCAGGAATTCTGTATTTTAATCATTTGGAAAGAGAACATCTTATGTGCTTTGGATTACGTGTTAAGATTTTCTTCACGTTCTGGAAAATACCCCGAGCTTAAATACTTGCTCTTCCCCTTCCTAGCTTCCTGACATTACACAAGTTATTTGCTCTAGGCCTCAGTGTTCTCACCTGTAGAATGAGAAAAAAATCACAGTATTGCATCATAGCATTGATGTGAGGACTCTGTAAGATAATGCATGTAAAACCCTTAGCACATTGCTGAGCATGTGTTTAATAAATAACTATTACTACTAGAGCTGTTACTATTAATAATAATCCCTCACCCTTGCTTTCTATACTTTAGCATCCAGTCTTCCAATTTATTTGAATATAACTCTGGGATATTTATTTGGATAACTCTTTTATTCCTTGAGAGTACTAATCATTTGTGATGAATTAAAAATAGATCTTTCTCATGCTACTATATTTAGTAATTTGTCTGCCTTACAGATAGTAACTGATATTTCAGGTTGCTATTTGATAAGACTGATTTATTTGTATGAACAATAGACGTTTTGCCATGTAACAGAAATTTGGCTTTAGCTACTTATGATTTTTAAAGTCCAGGATTAAACAAAGTCACAACGTTAGATATATTTGAACTTAAGTTAAATGTATTTTGATTTTAAGTTTTGTGTTTCTAATGATTATGAATTGTGACTATATACCAATTAAGTACATTACTTGGTACATGAAGTTGAAATATTAACACTGTAATTATAGGCTTTGTCTTTACGAGGCATTTGCCTTGCCACTCCTTGGCCATGTCATATTTCTTATGCTGAATGCATAATGCTGATCATAAGAGATGTGAGGAACTAGTAAAGATCAATTAGCACAAGTTAATCACTAATGCTAGAGGAGGTATTCAAAACACATGGCTTAAATCTAGACACAGGCTCTTTAGTAGTACATTTTAATTTTATTTTCTAAAGTCACAACAGAAGTTACAATTGAGCCAAGTTCTTATGTTATCTGGTGTGTTTAGATAAAAGACTTGCCAGTTTCACCTATAGTAACTCCAAATACTCTTTAGAAAATAACAAAAACTATTTAAAACCAATTATATAGGTTTTAATGCTTACGATTCTATAAAATCCTTTAGTTATATTTATCTCTGCTAATTATTACCTAAATGCATGGAGGTAGATGAAGCAGGTGATGTTCCAAGTTTATAAGAATGGAAACTGGGAAGTAAGAATACTAAGGCCAGAATACAAACCTGGGTCATCATAATCCCGACTGGACGTTCAGCGTACTGATCTGTATATTCTGTAAAGTAATAATTTCCCAAGTGTGAGTTTTAGGTGTTACTAAAGAGGAGCTTTTGGTCTCTGTTGATGCAAGGAATAGAGTTCTGGTCTTCCTGTTTCAGACCAAGGTGCTTCCTGCTTCCTGTTTCACAAGTGGGTTTCTCAATAATTTATTATTTTTTTAAGAAAGGGCTAGCCTTAAAAATATTGTACGTTCATGCAGATCAATAGCATCACTGAAATGATTCATCTGTTCCATACTGCTTGATGTTCTCTATTATTCCTAGATGCTACAATAATTTTTTTTTTCTTTTAAGTTTCTATTTCTTTGGGCTTTTCTAAATAGAAAATAGTGAACTTCATTGTATAATTATATTCCAAAAAAGCACTAAATTTCATAAAATACAAAAGGTAGACTTTGTGAGTTACCTGCAGTGAAATAGGTTTTTTGTTATTTATGTATGTTCAGTATGCTTATGAGCAATTATGGGCAGGAGAAATGGAAACAAATACATTTCTAAGGAACTTTTAGTAGAGACATCCTTTTACTGAAAATGTGCAAACCAAGTTGCAACTGCAGTATTACCATGCTTAAAACATCATTATAACTAAATTCGAATTGAAGAAAGCCATTTTGCTTTTGGCCAGCATGGACTTAAGACTGGCATAAGCAAAAAGAAGCAGCAGCAAATAAAAAATTCCAAAAGTCCCCAAAGAGGTGATGTGCTTGTACAGTGGACTCAGGCTTTGGGACTTCTGTAGAGCCAACTCCCAGGCTGGCATTGCAGACTCTGATATCCATCCTGGAATCCTGGTTCCAGCATACTTTGGTATCCTACCATCTGTCACTTGGCATGACAGGGCACACCGCAGACTACCAAGACCCTGGAGCTTTTTGGCATGACTGATAGCCATCGACTGTGTATAATTTAGAATCTAGGCTGAATAAACCAAATTACTCTACACTCTTAATTATAGAACTGACAAGTAAAAAGTTTTACATTTAGACCACGGTTGGATTCATTGTCTGGCGAAGATCATTCCTCATGTCATTGGGCACATTCTTTCCTTCTGAGTGGTCTAATTGCTCAGTAAGTGATTAAAAAAAATCAAGTCTATATCGTATTTTCTTTTTGTACTTAGGTACAGTTTATGGAAAAGATCTGAACATGCTGTTTTCTCTATGGAATTTTGGAAGCTGGTTTTAACCATGCTCAAAATAAATTCAGGATATCAGTAAATGGTGGATGGGGAATATTATTGGCCTAGCATAAGGCTACTTCTGTGTCTAACACATTTTTTGAAGAAATATTACTTCTCTTACAGATATCTCCTGTGATGGAAGCAGAAGAATTAACTAATGATATATTAGCAATAAAAAATATTATTCCTACAAAAGGTGATATTTGGGCCACATTTGAAGTCATTGAAAATGAAGAGCTAGGTAAGTGATTTTTATGCGAGGGATTCTTAAATTATTTATACTATAAAAAAGCACTGTTTAGGACGAGACTTTATTAACATTTTATGTCCTAACATCTTGTTATGATTTTTTTTTACCTTAGTGCATGTGTTAATATATGTTTGAGGTAGACTTTTTATGATTTTACTCATCAAAATAATTGTATTACCTTATTGACTATAAAAATACAGCGCAAGACTTTAGGTATCTCTTTTGGTGCCTCAGGAAAGAAGACCTTTGTTTATAAGGACAAGCGATTTGATTTGGTACAATATTCTGAATGGTGTGAGTTACTATTATTTAACAAGAACACTATGAACAGAAACAAGAATGTTGATTTAAAATATGTTTATTATTCTATAAAGTAATTTTCAGAGCAGCAGAAGCTTCATTTTTGTCTTTTTCCTTTTTCTATCTTTAGTGGGTCAAATATTTTGTTGTCTTTCATCTCCAAGATGCCTAGGAATAAAGGGAGCATTTAAAGCACCTTGACTACCCCAACAGTCAAGTGCTGAATAAGCTTAACATTTTAATAACACCTGTGGTTTCAAAGACCTCCAGAAAGAAAAATAAGACACAGAACGTCTTTGTACCTTCACCATCTGTCTAGCTGCTACCTACTAAGGTCTTGGGACACTTTGGAGTACAGCTGCCAAACTGCCAAAAGAAAAATCTTGCCACCCTCAAGCTCAGGATAAAAATTAAATACAGTGTTTAAAATAGCCCATAGTGTGTTATTAGGAGTGTTCCAATCAGTGTTAAAATGAAATGGGATTGTCAGTACTTGGTCTTTATGTTTTTATTCCCGTATTATGATTGTGCACAATTCTTTAAAATTTAAAATGTTTCAATGTTATTTTTAAATATACATTGCCAAGATCTGATGACTATGGTACTTTGATGTCGCTTCACAGTATCTCCCTCAATTGGTCTCAATCCTCCTCGTGGACAGAAATACTCTGGCAGATGACTCCTATGACCCCCAACTGTCAAGTCCCCAGATTCACATCTGGGTTCGCTTTACCTAACCTTCTATGGCATTTATTGTTAATGACTATTCCCATTTTATTTGATGATCTTCACTCTGTTTTCCATACTGCCTGGATTCTCTTCATGATTTTCTGATCATTTTACCTCTTTTTTAGATTCTCCTTATTCTGTCCTCTAAACATTGGGTTTTCCTTGCTGCAACCTCCTTTGCCATCTTTTCTCATGTTACCTATGATTATGATTATGATGATGATGATGATGATTAGATAATCTCTTCTATTTTTTGTGCTTGGCTAACAAGTATGAAATGGTGTTTCCCAAATATACCTTTGTTCTTCCTCCATCTAGCTCACACTACTACCTCATTTAAAACCTAGACTAAAAGTTTCATGTGTACTTTGTCTCATTTCTCTTTATAGTACTTATCACTTTGATTTGTACTTGTCTCTTTTGATGGGGGCTCCTTGGAAAGTAGGAGCAATTCTGTTTTTTTTGTTTTTTTTTTTTTTTTAAATCTCTAATGTCTACCCTAGTGCCTATTATATAGTAGCCATAAAATCTATTGAATAAGTGAGGCATGATTTTCTATGACTCTGTGGTACAAGAGTGACAAAGTTTTTATTTTTCATCTTTGTTTAATTTTAAAGAATGGGTCACTCAGTTACCAGCTTTATTATATTTGTGCATAAAGGTTAACTGTCGACATTATTGCCGGAAGCGTCTTTCCACATTACAAATTGGTTTACATTGTTTCACCATGTAAAATCCTTTTATTATTTTCTCATTGCATATTCATCCTTCACAGTGTAAGTAAAATGTCTCTTCCTTCAGCTTGTTCACACTGATTTCTTTCAGATCACTTATTTAGAAATCTATAATGCTGTGTACTCTATGACTTCTAGAATAGTAATGTGTATATACCTGGTTCTGCCCTATACTATACTTTTTTTAGCACATTTACCACATATTTTAGGCTTTATATTTTTGACTACTTCTCATAGTGCAGTTGATGTGGATCACACTCCCCAAAACTCTTTTCAACTGAAGTAGGGCAAAAAAGTAGATGCATTCTGGACCTGAGTGATATGGATTGTGACTCCTGGTATAGATGCATCCAAATGTGGGAGGCACATAGACAGAGATCTCTGCCTGTAGATTAGGAACCATGAAGAGATCTCAAGGCCCTGGTTAGTGCTTGGACAGATGATTGTCTCCTACACGCTTCTATGTCTGTTGCTTTTTAAAAGTTTGATAGCAGAATACTGAATTGTGGATTTAGGGGTAGGCATCCCCTCCCTACCTCCCTTGCCCTCTCAGAGTTTGAGTACATTAAAGCATATCCGTGTGCCATTTCAGCTCTGTATCTCTGGCTACTGGTCATCCTAAGAGGAGCAAGCTCGTAGATGAGGATAGGAAGGAATTATATATAGCTAGAAGAGGGGTTGCATTATACCAGGAAACATTGTTTTGAAATTTTATCTTGAGGGATCAAGGGATGTTTACCCTCAAAATGACTAATTATAAACTTGAATGTGGTAATTAGTATGTAAAATGCTAAGATTGAATTGGATTTTTTCCTATTTTTACTTCTAATTAGAATAAAGTTGTCTTTATGAAGATATCTAAAAAACTAGGAGACATCAAGTTTTGATTTGTGAATGTGTCAATGTATAAACTAAGAAATGTGTCATGTACACCTAGAAAAAATATACTTAGAGTTAAGAATTCAAATTTGGCATGGTCTTAATGTTTGGTCAACTGTGCAAGTAGAAATTGCAGGAAGGGGAATACTTTCAGAAGGCTAATGGTAGGAGAGCAACAAAAGGGCCTGTGGTTATGTGGGTTTACTGAAGCCAGTTGAACATGTGTGTACCACCTGACCTGAAATGTTGAAGGCTTTATTACTAGTAACATGCAGGGAAGATAAAGTGGAATATGAGAAGGAGGTAAAAGTAAAGGCATAGGTAGTAAGAAGGTTGTAGTCGATAAGAATGTCAGCCAGGCAATTGGTATGTTTTATAATGTAAACATAAATCCTCCAAGTAATGCAGTAAAAAAAAAAAAAAAAAATGAATATATAAATTTATAAATATGTAAGCCAGAGTGCTAGATTTTAAGTATCTTTATATTTTAAAGCAGGAGTTCTCTATATCCAATGTTTCCTTTGTATAATAAATGTTTGGTAATCTTCCCTTTAGTGTCCTGAGATAATCTATTGTACTCATTACAAATTAATACCCTAATTAAAATATAAAAATAAAGGGAACGTATACATTATTAGCATGTAAATGCTGGGAAACTCCTATATGTCTGAAGATGATGAACATAGATTCTTAAACCTGTGAATGGAATCTCCGTTGATGTGGCAGCTACTAATTCAGAATGCTATAAGCATGTACCTGTTGTTTTCACTTAAATGATATTTCAGCATTACTGTCATTAGTGAGATGGTGCACAACTTCTCAGGAAGTTCTGACTAAGACAGCACAGTCATCTTTTTTTGTTTATATGGCAGTCAGATTCGTGGGGAAATATGTTATAACCATTTAAACATTTTGATATTTTTGACGTTTTGATTTTATATTACATTGGTATGAAATATACATTAAGCCGAGTTAGATTCTCTTCCGTAAGAGCCAGTCATCCAAAATATGCTATTATTTTAATGCTTCACCTTATATCCGAACCCATCATCTGCCAATGTAGACCCCTTTACCCTCTGGGTTTTTCACATCTTGAAAGAAATTTAACCACTGAGGGGACTCATTTAAATAGGCTTCACTGAGAGATCCAAGTTTGGAAAACAGTTACTTTTTATGCAGTAATATTAGAAAAAGATGGTCTTGTTTCTTCCTCAGACCTACTGTAATATGGAAGATCTGTTTACTTTTTATTAGGATTCTTTCTAGCTCTTCTGACTGACACATAAACTGCTGTTATCTTCTGATTATGTACACAGGGCAGACAGTGTTTTTCACTTTGCATATGTTACCCAAGAAAATCTTTGTTTTTCCTCAAATTACATGTGAGAAAACCATCATGGGAAGGCTTACATATGTGTCTGGAATAAAATTAACTATAGTAGTTAAGATCTGGGGCTTTAAAGTCAGATAGGTTTGGGTTGCACATCTCTGTTCCTCACCTTAACCAGCCATGTGACTCAAGGCAAGGGGCTAAAACCTTTGTGATTCTTAGGTTTCCTTACATGTAAAATATGAATAATAATATCTAGTGAAGAGTGTGATTGTGAAGTTTGAAAGTGGTAACTGATTTAAAGCATCCAGCATATATAATGCCTGATACATAATTGTTATTCCATAAATGGCAACCGTTATTGGGATCAAAAGTATCTCAAAGCTTTCAAGTAGTAGACTCAAAAATTATGTAAAGCCAGACATAAAGGGAGTGCTTATTTTATAATTAGTTTTACCTTCAAATACATCTAACTTCAATTTGAAGACAACCAACTTATGAGTTAGTTAACAATTGAATTATAACTTTGGCAAATTGTGGGCAGTTATGATCTTTGCCAAATCTTTTAGAAAATTATTTGAAGAAAAGTAATACTGATATAGTACAAAATATTATATCTGACTTTATGAGGACTCATTTTGTCTGTGAGTCTTTCTGTTAATATGTTTTTTTTTTAATTTATGGGCCATCAAAGGAAATGAGATAATTTATTTGCCAAATATTTATTGAGCATTTATTATATACTCAATACTATGCTGTGAATAGGGGATATATAATAGGAAACAAGATGTGCATTTGTCTTCAGGATGTATGGCCTCGTGGATTTTTTCTTTCCTTGTTTATTCTTGCCATTATTATAATGAGTTAGCTTGCTCCAATAAGCACAGAATGCAGAACTGGATTTCTCTTTACTGGATAAGAAGCAAGCATCTGGTAATTTACATTGGAAGCAGACAATTTATTTTCTTATCTGGAACTAGGAATTGTTGATGACTTCTGATATGATATGTTCGTAGCAAGGGAAACCAGTATTAGGGAGGATGCGATATATTTATGTAAACTTGTGATTTTATTATCAATTACATTATGATGGATCATACAAGTATGATGCTTTTGATATGCTCTTTCCTGTTTGTCTTTAGCCTCATTACTTTAAACAAAAGCAAAAAGCTCAAGTGCTGTGTGCTTTATATTTTGGATGGTTTGAAAGAGTTGAATTGACTTTTACATGACTACAACACTAGGAAAGCAGCACTGACATCTTCATGTCAGAGCTTCTTTTCTTATTATTTCAATTATGCTATTTTCAGTGTACTGAGAAAAGGTTTGAATTTCCCATATGCCTCTGTTGCTACATTTTATTAACTGATTGACATATTTTGATCAGCACAAACTTTTCTGTGAGGCTTTGATTGTAATTCTAAAACTTGTTCTTTTTAACTCTATGCTAAGAATATATGCTGCATTTAAAATTATGATTGCCTAAATCAAAACGTATATGGATGAATGTTCTTCACAGAAATATATTGAAGATATCATGTAATTTCTTGCTAATTGGCCTATTATGTCAATAGTTAATATATAATATTGACACGTAATGTTTTTGGTATTTCCACTAATAGTTAAATATAGGCTATTCAGTACTATTTTGTAAATTATTTTAATGTTTTCTATAGAAGTTACATTTTATAATTTTATATTGATTATGAAAATATTAGCTATGAGGTATTCACTAGTATTGATCGAAATTAGGAGTTTGATCTTGTTGGGATAAACAAAGGATTATGATTAAGTTATAATTATTATTTAGTAATGGACAATATTGTTTAATGGATTTTTAAAACCATTTAATTGCATATAAAAATAAAAAGGTTTCCCTAAACAAACCAGTATGTTATCTAAAAAAGAGGATAGAGGATTGAGTTGGTGGTTCATGCCTGTTCATCCCACCACTTTGGGAGGCAGAGGTGGGAGGGTAGCCTGAGATCAGAAGTTTGAGGCTACAGTGAGCTATGATTGCACCACTGCACTCCAACCTAGGTGACAGAGTGAAACCCTGTCTCAAAATAAAAATAATAATAATAATAAAGTATTGTACAAGGTGTAGAATGTATTGTACAAAGGGTAGAATTCTGAGATTTTTTTTATCAAAAGAAAAGTACTTCTGATTTTTAAAAATAGTTGAGTAAAAAATAGGTATTCCTGCATTATTAATTTATATAGTAAATGTTATTATATGCTTAATAATTTTCTAGGTCTTAGGGTATCTTTTGTGTAGTCATAGTGCTATTACTGTATAACATAAGATATGATTGTGTATAATGGTGCCTACAGATCTTTTCAAAGGGATTTTTTAAAATTTATAATTATAAAAAAATCATTATCTTCATATATTTTCCATTTGATTTGGAATTTATTTTTTACAGAGCGTCCTCTTCACTACAAGGAAAATGTACTGGAGCAAGTGCTTCGGTGGAGTTCATTAGCTGAACCCGGCTCTGCTTACCTGGTGGTGAAGAAATTCTTAACTGCTGACACAATTAAACACTGCAGTGGTAGGTGTCATTACTTCACATTGCAGCTATGATTGAAAATTCAGGTGGTTAAAGGGTAATTAACATGGCACAAGTAATATTGGAAAATGTGAAAAATGAGTAGCTAGATACAGAATGAACTGACACAGTACATAGATAAGAAAGAAGAATATATGGACAGGAAGATATTTTCCCAGTGTGTTGCTCTGAGGTAATAGTTGACTAATTTGATTGTACCAAGTTTAAGTTTTTGGAAATAATAGTTTGTTTTTAAAGGTTGTTTACCATGCTTATGCTTATGTATTTTACTAATTTTTAGATTGAGGGCAAGTCATCTCAGTGAACTACATTTACATTGGAACACTTTCTGGGCATTAAAGGAATGCTAAGTGTATAGGCTCTGAGACAGAGTGCTTGCTATACATCTCACATTTTTGTGATGATATTGTAAAATAAATACTTACAAAATAGAATACCTCCAATAAGAATACTTCCCATTCAACTGGAAGGAGATAGTGCACATTTAAGGTTAATTAAGTTAGCTAGCACAAGTGAACTATATAAGACCATTTCTGAACCTCTATGAGGTCTCAGAAAATTTTTATTTTGAAACTTCTTATTCTGTTGTGTTGTTATCAACTGAAACATAAAAAAAAAAAATCAGCCACTATTGTATACAATCCAACTCAAAAAGCTAAGGATTGAAATTTACCATTACTTTTATGATTAATATTAATAATAACAGTTATTATTTCTTAATCGCATATCAGCAGAGCTCAATACACATCAAAGCTTATTTCAAGTGTTTTTTAACTTCCTTGTAAGTTCTATTATCTTTCAAATTTTACAAATGAAGGGAAGAGAAACTCAGAGAACTTAAGTAAGTTGCCTTATATTATTCAATTACTAAGTATTGAATTGAAGAACTGATTGGCATACCTCCTAATTTTAATTATGTGAAAAAACGTGGAGAGGATGGCACAGCTCTTCAGTGCTGTAAACGTACTCAGTATCATTGCAGATTCTCTAGTTAATAGTCATAATTCAGAGCTCTTAATTGTACCAAAGCTTACCGTATAAATTTCTGATTTAATGACACTGTCGTGTATATCTTATATACTTTACTTACATGAAAGTACTTTTACAAAATGCAAGTAGTATGACAACTTTCGTGTCACTGTGTTCTTATAAGCATCTAAAAAACCAAAACAGATATTAACTCTTTATACTATAGAAATGTAACCTTTCAGAGACCTTTATCCTGTTTGAAATATTTTCATGCGTTTACATATGATTTTGACCATATACTGCCTGTGCCGCCTTAATGTTTGCAATAAGATTTCTCTGTACTCATGTGAATGCACATGTATGAATGCACATGTCATAAAGTAGTGGCTCTCAGCTAGCAATGATTTCCCCTCCTTTCCCTCCCCGCCCACAAGACGTGGAACATATAGCGTCTTGAGACATTTCTGACTGCCACAACTTGGATATTGGGTAGGGAGGCAGGGCTTCTGGTATTTACTGGGTACAGACCAGGGGTCAATGCTGATGTTGAGAAATCCTAATTTAGATAATCTGTGATATCTGTTCTAATTCGTAAATTCAGCTATTCTTTCATTATCTTTCTATTGAATTTTTTCTTTGTTTCTTTTCTTCCAATATTCCTCTGAAATATCTGTAATTCTCCATGTTGCAAAATGTTTAAAACCTACACCTAGACATAATACCTTTGCTGTTGTGTGAAAGCTAGTAGGCTGTCTATGTGAATAAAAATAGATAAGAATTAGATCCTAAAAGGCCATGTTATAAGTGGAGGTTCTGTATGTCTGAGGGTGAGGGTAAACCAAAACAAGTTCACCGTTAAATGCTATTAATCTTCAGGGCACTGCTGGGGGTGGGTAGCAAACAACCCAACAAGGTGTAGATTGCGCTGATTTAGAGCAATCATAACTGAGTAAAACATTTGTTGTGTAAGGGCACGAAGAAATGGTGCAGTGACAGCCGGTACATTAGCTGTATCCACAAATGGGGTAGGAAGATTCGGTGTATTGGTGATGTTCCACCTATCCCATTGCATCTTCTAGATGGAGATATGAGTGTGTCCTTCTGTTTTAAAGCATCAAGCCTCTGTAAGATCTAGACAACGCATCTTGTATAAAAGAAGAAAAAAAAAAAAAAAAAAAAACTAGGGAAGAACTAAAGAATCCAAGCAGAAGAAAGCAAGCTGAAGGCTTAAGTGATGTTTCAGAGATTTGGATGAAATATTCTTTGGTTTTTGTTGTTGTTTGTTTTGAGATGGAGTCTTGCTGTGTTGCGTAGGCTGGAGTGCAGTGGTGTGATCTCAGCTTACTGCAACCTCTGCCTCCCAGGTTCAAGTTATTCTCCTACCTCAGCCTCTTGTGTAGCTATTATTATAGGTGCTCATCACAATGTCTGGCTAATTTTTGTATTTTTATTAGAGACCGACTTACACCATGTTAGCCAGGCTGGTCTCGAATTGCTGACCTCAAGTGATCCACCTGCCTTGGCCTCCCAAGGATGAAATATTCTTTGGAGTAAAGTGTCAGTAAACTTCTGTGTCACTCTCTTACCCACTTCACATCTCTAACAGGGTGGGGGCCATAAAACTTACCTCTGTCCCTGAACTATCCCTGCTGCCTCATTTTCTCCAACAAATATGCATCTTGTTACTGTACCAGGAACTTTGCTTGAAAAAAAATAGTGCTTTAAAGGAAAACCATCAGTTAATATATTAATTGGATCATTTCATATTTGTAGTTATGTAGTCTGGTCAAAAATAAGAGAACCTGTAAATGTCTAAAGTACTCTTATTTTCCAGTCCATAAAATTTTTATAAGTATCGAATTAGAGTTTGATTTATATTCAGATTGTAAAAGCAAAATAATCTCTTTCATTACAGTAGGTTCTCCATTTGTTTGAATTTAGGCTTGCCCTTTAAAGGAATCTATAATATTTTTAAAAAATCAATTTCTTAAGTCATAATTTTTTCTTATGGTTGTGACTTAAAGCAACCTCTACTTTATTAATACCTCTTATGAGGCATACTTTGTGATAGACTTTTGATAATTTCATTATTCAGTCTAATTTATTTTTGTCTTGGCAAATGTCTCCTAAATCAATCATAATAACTACCTACTCCAGAGTTATTGCTCCATTCATTACCTCTACCACACCTTAAAATTGATATCTAAAAGGAAAATGATGAAAATAAATCAAATATGATTTCTCTGTCAGTGTGTTAGCAGATAAACTAGAATCATCTCAGTAATATTCAATTGTTCCTCAAAGAAAAATGAGAATAATGTTAAAGATTTATTTTCCTTTCTTAAGAATTTCTTATTCTAACCTGGGGCCGAGTAGAAATCGTCAGAATTTGAAAAAAAAGGGGGAGACAGTTGGTTGCAACCACATTTCTTCTCAGTAACAAATAGCTAATATGTTAACATTTTGTTAAAACATAGGGTTGCCCTATAATGTCCATTGTACCCTACACCCCGACACTAGATACCTAGTTGCCACAAATTTTACTCTGTCCCTACATTTATAATTTCTATCTACAGCTTGCATTTCATTAGTTTTAGGAGTTTTTTCCTGATATATGGAACAAATTATAACCATATACTTTGCTTGACATTATGTTTTCACCACTTCCTTTTAAAGCAAGAATGTTATATAAAAATTTTTTATAATTAAGGGGTTTTAATTTTCTCAATTTTCTTTCTTTATCCAAACTATTTAAAATGTGGACTTCACACATAAGAATATATTTTAGAATCTAGCACTTAATTTCTGCTCCTACATTTAAGGTAAGGAGGCAACATAATTTACTTTTATGGAGTTAGATGGGAGTAAGTACATTTTCTATTGCCTCTACTTAAAAATTATTTGTGTTTTTCAAAGGCATTTGATTTCTTAGGAACATTTTGTGCCATTGCCATTATTGTAATAAAGAGCTGACTAACTTGAAAACAAAGGTAATAGTCCTCAATTTTTTTCTACTCCATGTATTATGACTGAAGTTTTAAGATAGGGAGAATGAAACTTCATTTACATTGCTATTTAGACAGTGTCGTAGCTTACCTAATTAAACCATCATTATATTTTATACTAAACTTCATCATATCTATCACAAGCAAACCATAAATGTATAGCTTCTGTAAGGCTCCAGAATAATCTTAAGTTGTAGAAGTCTTATTTTAAGCACTAAAGTTTTTTGAAAATTATCCCAATAGAATATGATACATGAGAATGAAATTTTAATGATCTAAATAGGAGAGAAATACTTATATCTAAAGATATAAGATGTAACTCAAATGCATATTTCTTTGAATTTCTAAGTTTAGATTGCTGTATATGACAGATGCTATGGAATTAAATTTGCATTAGAATAGTGTAATTCAAAATGCAACTGCTTCAAGTAAATTCAGACCTGGAAAGCTGAGCCATTCACTATCTATGAACTTAAAAAAAGAAAAGACAATTTCAACAAATATAATAATAAATTTACCTAGCTGATATAATTTACATTTCACTCCCCATCATGTTTTCTTAAAGCCAAAGATGTACAAGATATTAAAGTAAGACCTAGGCCACTTAAATTGGAAGTTTTTCTTTTTTCTTTTTCTTTTTGTTTTTTTGAAATTGATGATAGTCACTGATATTTACTATGGAGTAACAATGCCCTGACATTTTCTAAAATATAATTCTCTGGTAAGAAACCATATTGGTAAATTTGTATTAACTCTCTGTATCATGCAGTAATCTATAGAACATTTAAGGTATTTAAATTTAAGAGTTTTGTTAAGCATTATCTATACCCAGAAAGAACAGAAATTCTAAATTTATGACAACTGTTGAAATATCAGAGTAAAAACAGCATGAAATAACAGACTACTCTAGGTCAGGATGTTTATGAAGAGCTTTCAATCACAGAAAAGTACTTCAGCTGGATGATCGTAGACATCTCTTCTTACACTGAATGTATCCTATTCAAGGAA